CAGCAGGTCCCTCTGGCTCCTAGGGGCAGGGGAGCATAGCTGGGGGGGAGCAGGGGGAGCGGCCGCTCCCCCCACTGATCACGTCAAAAGTGGCGCCTTAGGCGCCGACTCCGTGGGTGCTCCGGGGTTGGAGCACCCACGGGGAGCTCCCCGCCCCGCGCCCGGCCCCAGCTCACTTCACCTCCGCTCCGCCTCCTCCCCGGAACACGCCGCCCCGCTCTGCTTCTCCGCCCCCCCTGCCCCGGCTTCCCGCGAACCAGCTGTTCAGCGGGAAGCCTGGGAGGGATGAGAAGCAGGTGGCGGCTTCCTGCTCAGGCCGAGGGTGGCGGAGGTGAGCTGGGGTGGGGAGCGGTTCCCTTGCGCACCCCCCCTCCCCGGGTTACCTGCTGCAGCATGTGTGGCCCTCCTCACGCCCCTCCCCCCCGCCCCAGCTCACCTCCGCCTCCCTGGGCCTGAGTGCGAAGCCGCTGCCTGCTTCTCAGCCCGCCCCAGCTTCCCGCGCGACCAGCTGATTCGCGGGAAGCCTGGGGGGCGGAGAAGCAGAGCGGGGCGGCGCGTTCAGAGGAGGAGGCGGAGGTGAGCTGGGGCCGGGAGTGGGGCGGGGAGCTACCAGTGCGTGCTCTGCACCCACCAAATTTTCCCCTTGGGTGCTCCAGGGTTGGCGCCACCTTTGGCCGGTTAAATTTAGAAGCCCTTTTAGAACCGGTTCTCCCTTGCCGAACAACCGGTTCTAAAAGGGCTTCTGAATGCAACAACTGGTTCTAGTGAACCGGTGCGAACCAGCTCCAGCTCACCACTGACTGTAACCCACTTCTATAAGTTAGGCCTGATTTGCCTCTCATTTACATGAGATTTATACCAGTGGAATTCTATTGATACCAGAGTTACTCCTAATTAATGACAGATAACTGGGAGGACAAACAGGCCCTATAGATTCAATATTCCCTAAATGCCCCATATTTTTGACATGTCCCTCCCTACCTATGTAAAGTACACATACTTCTGCATGGTCACACTGTTAGCCCACAACAGTTTAACTATGGTCTACACAGATCAGAAGATGGGCTGTCTGCAGGTCCCACCCCCTCCCTCATCTATCGTCGGGTGATTTATTAAGACAGAGGCAGAATAAGATGTAACACACAAATATTTATTATGCCACTAGTCAGTGAACTAGACAAGGACCCCTTCAGACAATAAACAGCATAAGGAAGACACGCTCGGTGGTTAACAGTTACCAGAGCATAAAGCTCAGAGCCCTTAAACCCCCTTAACCTGTGGATGTAAAACAGAGGGAAACCACAATGGGTATTACACGGCCATACCCTGAAGACAGGGACAGAATGACAAAAATTCAGGATACTGACAGGGATAGTGGTGAAAATCAGGGGTGCTGGACACCAAACAGGAACTGGGTATTCTTCTCCCTCTGGACAGGTCCTCTGGGCAGGTCTTCTCCCTCTTGGACAGATCTTCTCCCTCCTTCAGCGCTTGCCCACGCAGTCTCTGCTTGACCTCGTAGTCCAGTGCAAGTATGCGCTCACTAATGGTGTGTAGCAGCTGAGTGCAAGTATATTAATAGAGACCAAGAATCCAAAGTCCTATGAGTCCCCGGTCCCTCTGGGGCTCCTGCCAGCGAGCTGAACTGTGTGGGACACTGGCTGCCACTCAGATGGACAGCCCTGAGTGACAGGCGTGCCACTCACTAAATAACCTGCAGTTGCTAGGCAGATTATGGCTGTCACATGACTCTAACTTTCCCCTCCTTTGTTTGAAAAAGGCTGAAAGGGCACTAAATCATCTGAGGAGAAAGATGGAGGCTTAGCTGTCTTTTTACAAATCCAAGATGGACATTACGTAAAACAGGTCAGAAACCGATTTTACCCAACAACACATGCAGAGAATACCTCTCAGGGTAAGGTGGCCTTCAGTTACCTTGGCAGAAGTATTAAGGAACCAGCTTGCCGATATTGGCCGGGGCTGCTCTTGCTATGGGCAAACGAGATACCTGTCTAGGGCAGCAGATTCTACCTAGGGTGGCGGGGCGGCCGGGCCAACCCGACCAATGCTGGGACCTTGCATGCCAGGTTGCAACACCTTTCATTCAGAGGTGACCCGGCCACGCCTCCCCCGACGTCAGGATGGAGCTGCAGCCCGGCCAAACCTGAGTGAGTGGCGCTGCAACCCAGCACTTGCCCCGGTTCATTTCTACCATAATCAATGAACTATCAGAAGGCTTGCCACACCCCCCCTGAAAGTCTGTTGTGTCTCATCCCCCCCACCCCGGGAGACATGGGCCCCTGCTTGAGCAGCTCTGTTCTAGGGAGTAGGAAGGGGGCGGCACTCTGAAGTTTTGCCTTAGGTGGCAGATTGTTTTGAGTGGCTATGACCCAAGGACCCCTTGTGTCCTCTATCAATTGGCACCGGGGTGCATAGGCTTTTATAGGGATCCACTGGATCAGATATATGCATAATAGTTCACTGAAGGGTGGCATATGAGATCTGTACCGAGAGCCAGCTGCCCACTGACCATGAGAAACTTTGTGAAATGTGTGTATGGATAATATTTCAGGAGTTATGTATCTATACTGCAAATTACGCTCTGAAGGTTTTGGAGTGTCACCAGGAGGTGATGTACCTCCGAGATGTTCCTTTCAGGAAGGAGGTAACTGACACCTATCTCCCTGTCTGGCCAGTTGTGTGTTGTATGCCTTATGCTCTGTGCCTGTTTGCAAACTGAGCCACGTGCAAATTGAGAGATTGTTTCTACTTGTAGATTTCCTCTCCTGTAGACTTTGCAAACAGCACAGGGCAGGGGGCATGTCCTATTTAGGAATAAAGATGAAGACTGCGTCTGGTATAACTTGGAGTGCAAAGGACCACACTGGGTCCTTCACCTAGGAAGCAAGCTGACAGCATGCATGTGTCATGAAAGAAGGATCACAACCAACCTGATTGTAAAATGCTGCAAGGATCTGGGGTGAGCAGTACTTTACTAGACATGAGCGTGTCTTCTTAATTACGGCTAGGCTCTAGAATGTGAGTGATGATTTGATTTTATATGTAACAATTTGTTTTCAACACCTTTGCTTGCTACTACTTGAATCTCTGTGCTTTGTTAAATAAACTTATGCTCGATGTCACGGTAAACATATCTAAGTGCTGCGTGCTAAGTGGTGATCTGAGGTGGAACTGGTAAGTGGGGGTGTACAGCTTCTTTGGAATCTGTGACAAGTGTGTGCGTCTGGTGAAACAGGAGGTGGACACTCCAGCAAGATGTTCACAGGGCTCAAGGGTTGGAGTGGGCTTATTGCTAACCTGGAGAGGGGCGGAGGGGCTGCCTATGCCTAGAGGGGAGTGCTTGTATTGTCCGTGGCCAGTGGAGTTGGGGAGCTGACCCCCCAGCAGACCCAGACAAGGCATCCTCACACGAAAGGCAGGTGGTAGCAAGATGCCTCACAACCCAGGTTACCCGGGAAGCGTCCCAGTGGCCTCTGGATATTGCACTCCCTAGGCTGGTGTTTTAGTCTGCCTCTGGCCATTAACATTTTCCTGACTTGACAATTGATAAAACAAATGATAACTGATTATCATCATTCGACCTTAGTGCTTCCAAACAACAGCCCAGGGAATTTTGATGTTACCCATAGCTGGAAATCCAGTATGCGCCCTCACAAAAGAGTGGTGTGTGCTCTGGATACCTAGAGCAGCGAATATCTCAGACAGACTACAAAGAAACCACATTTTATTTTCATAAGGGAATAATAACACATAGAGCTGTGTCAAGCTGCCAGAAGATGATTCACAGATGCAGTGAACTCAGCCGGATGGCACTGTGTGGATGGCACTGGCTCTGTCATTTACTCCTCCTTATCCCCCAGCAGAAATTTCCCATTGGCCGCTCAACTGCTTCCACTGTGCTATCTAAGCTGCAATAGCCACATGAAAGGGTGGGGGGGGAGCGGGAGGGGTGCGTTCCGAGAGCTGTCGCATGGTTATTATTATCACAGCTTCCTTGCTTTTCTTAGTGACAGCACATCTGTCTCACTTTTGTCTCTGGCTTTTCAAGACAGGACAAGAAGCTGCAAAACCGCACTGTAGGGCCCGGGTTTTGGCCACAGTTAAGCTGGCTTCTCACTTTGTGCACATACCCATTTGCAAAGGTGAGCCAAATAATGCCATGCCCCATCCTCCTCCCCAGTTTGCACATGAGCATGGTTAGAAGCAGCAGCTAATAAACTCATATAACATTCAAACATGGATTGGAGACAATCTCTTCTTCAGAGGCCCCTTTGAGATACTCTTAACAGTGTTTTCTCTTTATTTCCCTGAGTCCAGGCCTTCCCATTCCAGCAGGGCGTGATCTAGTTCTCTCAGGTGCCTGTCAACAGCACACCTACATCTCCCAGAACGGATGAGAGCAACCCCAGGCCTCCCACTCCCTAGGAGCTGAGTGCAACCCTCCCATCTACTTCATGGCATTCCTGGCTCTGACCAGCTCACTCAATAAGAGACTGATGCGGGAATCTATGCTTGTTTCTGCTGTCACCTGATTTCATATGTGAATGCAACAGAATGTATAAAGGGACCATAATCACGTGTGAGGAGCATTCAGTCATACAAACACTGGGCTTCTCAGACCACTGGTCCAGCTGGCTCAGTAGTACCCAAGCTCTGACAGAGGCCAGTACCAGATGCCTCTGAGGAAGACACAAGAAACCTTATATGGACAATTATGCAGTAAGTCTCCATACTGAAGAAATGTCTTTAATAAGCCCCATTAATTATACATATTGGTTTATGCTCTTATGTAATGGGGGATATTTTTATTATTCAGATGCATGTCTAGCCCTTTTTAGAATCTTTCAAAGCTCTTGGCCTCAACAATATCCTGTGGCAATGAGTTCCACAGGTTAACAGAATTGTGTATGAAAACACATTTCCTTTTGTACTTGTACGTGTGTCATGGGAGATTTCATATACCTCTATTGTATCCTCTCTTGTATTCACTGTAAACTAAAAATCTATCTATAGTAATTACTTACATGGCCTCCATCACCCTAGTAAAATGAGTCCCTCACAATCTTTAATGAATTTATCCTAGGGAAGTGCTACTACCCCCATTTTACAGATTGGGAATTGAGGCACAGAAGGATTAAGTGACTTGCCCATGGTCACACAGGAAGTCTATGTCAGAGCAGGAAATTGAACTCAGGTCTCTCAGGGTATATCTACTCTGTAATTCGAAACCTGTGGTGGCCTGGGCCAGCTAATTTGGGCTCATGGGACTAAGGTTATGGGGCTGTTTAATTGCAGTTTAGATGTTCAGGCTCTGGATGCAGCCCAAGTTCTGGGACCCACCGACCTTGCAGAGTCCTAGAGCCCAGTCTTGTGTGTCTACACCTCAATTAAACAGCCCCTTAGCCTGAGTCCCATGAGCCCAAGTCAGAGGGCATGGCCAGCGGCAGGTTTTTAATTGTAGTGTAGACATACCCCTTGCTTCTGCTCTGGTGCCCTAACACCTAGAAATGAGGTAATACTTTCAACCACTCCTGCAGTCTCTTTCATCAGCTGTCTCTGCAGCTCTCCTATATCTACATGGCGGGAGCATTGGCCTGCTAAACCCAGGGTTGTGAGTTCAACCCTTGAGGGGGCCGTTTAGGGATCTGGGGCAAATATTGGGGACTGGTCCTGCTTTTAGCAGGGGGTTGGACTAGATGACCTCCTGAGGTCCCTTCTAACCCTGATATTCTATTCTATGATCTTTTAGGAAATGAGACTAGTCAGCCGGATCTCTGTCTTGCTATCATCCATGAAAGAGCTTGAAGATCGTTTGGAAATGATTTCACAAAATAGTTGACAAAAACCCAGTAATTGGGGAAAAAAGGAAAACTATTTCAAATTTGTTATGCCTTTTATATACTTTATAAATGGTTTGACTCACTCCATCACAAAACAACTGGATTTTTTTTTTTTTTTTTTTTTTGCAAAAATGTCATCGAAAGTTTTCCTGATTTTTTCCCCCAATTGTGAAGCGTCAGTGACATTGAAAACACTGAGTTTTTGGTGCTGGGAGGTACACTGGGTCGATTCATTGGCTGCAGTGGTTGAATAAAGAAGGCAACATAGGGTGACCAGACAGCAAATGTGAAAAGTCAGGACGGGGGTGGCGGGATAATAGGAGCCTATATAAGAAAAAGACCCCAAAATCTGGACTGTCCATATAAAATTGGGATGTCTGATCACCCTAAGGCAACACCAATCACAATTGCGGGGTTTGTATCGACAGGCGAGGATTTGATGGAAGTTTCTCACTTTCTCCCATAACTGGTTTGTTTGTTTCTTCTTCTTTCTTTGCCTAGCTCCTCCTCCTCCTCCTCTTTGTCTGGTAGTTTAGATCCTCCCTGTGGCCTGGTCTACACTAAAGTTTTACCAGAATAACTATTTCAGCTCGGGGTGTGATTTTTTGTTATCAGTATTGTTATATCACTAAAAGCCCTAACGTGAACAGTGTTATACTGGTGTAAAAATGCCTTATATTGGTGTACCTTATTTGCCTTCCCATACAGTAATAAGCTGGTATAACTGTGTTCACACTAGGAGGACTTTATTACTTTTAGCTATATTTGTACAAATTTCTGGTGGAGACGAGGCCTGAAGAATGAATCAATTCTCACCTCTACAGCATTTCAAGTAATGAAGATGATGTTTCCCCTAGAGATATACAATCTGGTTTGGATTTAAAGAAGAACCAAAGCACATATTTGCCCTGATCCTTCTTCTGGTATTTCAAAAAAATGATTAATCTTCCCCTCCCTCCTCTAGTCTTCTCCCAAAGGTGGGTTTGCATACCCTGGTATCTGCTGGGACAGAAAGCTGGCAGTTCTGAAATATCACGAGATGTGCTGTTCTGAGAATATTTCCAGCCCAAACAGAAGCAGGAGGTCCCAGAAGCTTCACTAGAGAACCCAGTCTTGTGAGATTTCCAGCCCAATTATTCAGACTCTAGACAAGATTTGGAAAATGATCTTATGCAGCTTGAACCTCCAACCCTTTTCAGTTGCACCTGTCACTGAGATGCCTTCAGATCCCTTATTATTTCTGGTAGCTCTATGAGAGAGAAAGCAAGTTTCTAAGGGAGATAGGCCCTGATTCAGCAAAGCACTTAAGCACATGCTTAATTGTGTTACTGAATCAGGAAAATAATCCCTCATACTTTGGAGCACAAGCCAATGAATCACTAAACACATGGGATCAAGTTAAAACTTCCCCATTGTTATTTACTGGAGAACATTCTCTACAAAACTATGGGGAATTTATTGTAATTCATGAGGTGGATTTTATTCCTTTCACTGAAGCATCCTGGCCCCAGTCAGACAAAGGCTACTGGACCGAGTGGACCATAGCTCTGTCCTGGAATTGCTGTACCTACTAATTAATTAGTCTTTCCTAATTTTTGAGGACTGTCCTATTTTTGCCATTTGCCATCTTGTGGCTCAAATCCACTTACGGACCTGCAATACACTGATTGTTGAGCTCTCAAAAAAGTCAAGTCTCCTGCCAAATCCTCTCCTTGGCCTTAGCCCTTTGCAGTGCATTCTACTTGTCATTGTGCCAGGGAGAAAACCTGATAACAGAAGCAACCCCTCTATGTCCTTCCATTATCCAGAATGAAGGCTCCAGGGCTGGAACAGCGGGAGAAATGGAAATTGTTGAACTCTACCGGGATGCAGACCTTTAAAAAAAGAGAAAGAAATGTGATTTATTATCTGTTGTTTCTCCTACACATGGAGAGAGACACCATGGCACAATGAAAACTATGAATCTGTGTTCAGATGGAGCCTGCTACAGAGGCTACATCTCTCTCTCCTCTCTGATGGGTCTCAATCCAGCAATATACACGTGTGATTTTAAGCACATGCGTATGTGCATTCACGGACCAGAGGCACGGATCAGACTTTTGTCCCTTCTTGTTTCCATTGTTCTCTTACTATGAAATAAATGTCATTCTGACGGAAAGTCTATGGTTGCTTTTTGTGGCTGGGGAAGCATGGAAAGAAGAAAGCTGCTTCTTTCTTCTTCATGAGTATCGGAGAAAGGTGGAGAGCACTGGAGAGTGGAAGTCCTCCATTCATCCAGAGGACAAGAAGAGTCCAGCCAAGAAAGCCAAGGCTTCCCCAATACTGTTGCACCCACGGAGCTTAGAGGAGCCACCTCTAGAAGGAGGAAGATCGATCAGTTACAATGCCACTGTAGACAGTGGTGCAAGTAGAATTGCACATAGGTGACTCATGGGAGGGACACAAAGAGGGGGCACCAGCTAAAGGGGGGCACATGACCACCCCACTTGCCCTCCCCCATGTAACTCCTCACCAGCCCCAGCCTGGTGCCCCAGTGCTCTCCCTGTCCCCTCCTCTCCTCATCCCACGTTACCTGGGCGGGGGGGTTATGTTTCTGTCCTCCCCTGTTCTGCCGGATATAGACTTCTCAATCGCAGGGCTCTCCGGAACTGCGGTGGTGAAAGGCACAGAAGGTGGGGCTGCCCCACACCGGCAGCTTCTCTGGCATGGCTGTACTGCCCCCAGCCCCACCCTCAGCACTGTCCTATGGTGGGGCTATACAGACCCTAGACAGGAGACGCAGCTGCGTGGAAAGGCTGGGGGCAGGGTTGGGGATGGTACAGTTGTGGCGGATGAGCTGCCGGCGTGAGGCCGCCCAGTGGCCCCACGTTCTGCTCCTCCTCTGTCTTTCCGGTATGGCCTACTGGTAATAAATATCTTAACTGTATGGCGTACCTGACCGTACAACCCTACTTGCACCAATGAATTCCCTACATACAGCTGGGAAATTTACATTTCGTCCCAAGCCACATTTGTGCAAAACTCCTGAAGCTGTAGAGAAAAAGGGTACTGAGGCCTTGCATTGCATCCCTTGAGGGTGAATATCTTGTGTCCCGGTTGTTGATCTAGCCATAAATTAGGTATGCAGAAACATACATGGAATTATAAAACCTAACTGAATAGCAGGAAGAACTTAAAAGCGAGATCTGTGGGATAGTCTCCCAAAGGAAAGGGAAACCCCATTACTTGGGACATTTCAAACTAGTCTGGAGAAAACACTAGAAAATGTTCCACAGGGAACAACCCATGATGGGCAAGAAGATAGCTTAGATAACCTAAATAGGTTATGAGATAGTAGGTCTTTTCCATCTCAGAGTTTTATGCTTTTATTATGATGGTAGCACTGAGACCCTGCAAACAAGGCTTTGCTAGCACAGTACAAACCTATAATTCGAGACAGGCCCTGCTCTGCAGAGCTTACAATGTAAATAGACACGGTTGACAAAGGGTGGGAGAGACAAAGTCCCCGTTGTACAGATGGGGAAGTGAAGCACAGAAAGATTCCAGAACCTGGCCAAAGTCATTCGGGAAAGTGAGGCCAGAGGTCCTGAGTTCCAATGCCATACCTTAGCCCCAAGCCCATCCTGATGATCCCACGCTCTGCTGATATCTTCATCCCAATATTTTATGGCTGTCCACGGTCTCTTTACTGCAGTCATTTCAACAAGAGTGAGATTCAGAAGATTTCAATGGCTGTTCCGGAGAAGTTTGTGTATCCCTCTGACCATACCAACTGTGCTTAGAGCAGGTATTACGGACTCCTCTGTTATCCATTGAAAGCTTTGGTGGCATCAGTGATGTGATTAAGGTGGTGTATGCAGCAAAAGACCAAAATCCCATCAACAATCTTCTAAACAATGTCTAACGATGCCGAGAAATGACTGCTGTGTTCAACTCCTATGCTGGATCTTCTGTGATCACAATGTTTTATGAGCTGTATGGCTAAACGGATGAGTTTACGCAAACACAGAAAACCTTGGGTGAAGAAAATCAGAAGTTAGCTAGCTCCATTCGTTATTTCCCTGCTGGAGGGATACCTCCTCTTCATCTCCAAAATATTATTGAAAGCTACACCCTTGAAGCTTATTTCCCATTTTTTAATTCATTGATGCACGCGGCTCATTGCCACGTGCTAATGAGCCTTTAGATGGAAAGTAAAAATCCCATTCTGACATGAACATCCATTTTTTTTTTATATTCACTCCCAGTTTGTGACCTCTTATTTTCCCCTTGGCAGATGCCCTTTCATTGTAATTAGCCATGTAGCACCTTTGATCCAGAGCTCTGGGAAAGAATAACTGAAGGGCATACCAACAAGCCCCCCAAAAAACACAAATAAAAACTTTGGTGGTCCCGAATGAGGACAAAATATTGGGCTTACAAGAACTTACTTCGAACTCCCTGAGGTCTCTTTAACAGCACTAAAAAAGGAAAAGACAGAGGGCCTGATGCTTACAACTTAATGCTTCACTAGCACTAGCTACACTGGGGTTCTCAGACATTCGTACTGGGGACCCCTTTCACACAGCACGCCTCAGAGTGCGACCCCCCGACAAAACAAAATCACTTGTTTATATATTGAACACCATTATAAATCCTGGAGGCAAAGCAGGGTTTGGGTTGGAGGCTGACAGCTCATGATTCCCCCCCATGTAATAACCTCGTTACCCCCTGAGGGGTCCCAACCCCCTGTTTGAGAACCCCTGAATACAGTGGTTTACTACGGGGTTCTCCCGTCACAGTAATTACTCCACCTCCCTGAGAAGCAGTCGCTAGTGCTGTTTACGCCCGGGGTCAGGGCAGCTGAACTATGTCTCTCAGGGGTGTGGCTATGCTGATGTCACTTTTCAATGTAGACCAGTCTTACTATTGCCTTGGCCATGTAAAAAGGTATTAACTGGGTGTGACTGTTGTTTATGGCCACTTTAAGGTCCCTTTATACCATTAGAGAGGTGTAAAGCGATCTTAATATATGTGACAGTGGGGCCCAGAGGCTAAGATTTTCAAATTGTTCCAAGGGTATTAGCTACCTGGCTCCTGATGGCTTTCACTAGGAATTGGGCACCTGACTCCCTTAGATCAGTTGATTATAAGGCCAGAAGGGACGGTTATGATCAACTAGTATGACTTCCTACATAGCACGGGTCACCACATCACCCACTGATTCCTGCATCTACATTGGGTGGTAGCTACATGCTTGAAGTTAGGACCCTCAGTGTATGTCTACACTACTCATCGGATCAGCGGGCAGTGATCGATCCAGCAGGGGTAGATTTATCGGGTCTAGTCTAGACGCGATAATCAACCCCTGAGCAGTCTCCCGTCAACTCCTGTACTCCACCGCCGCGAGAGGTGCAGGCGAAGTCAACAGGAGAGCGGCAGCAGTCGACTCACTGCGGTGAAGACACTGCGGTGAATAGGTCTAAGTACGTCAACTTCGGCTACGTTATTCATGTAGCTGAAGTTGCGTAACTTAGATCGATTCCCCCCCAGTGTAGACCAGGCCTCAACTAGGTTTTGAAATGACAAAGCAAGTCAGAAGAACTAAGGCAGTGGGGAAGAAGTGTGATTTCTAGCCCTTGTGGGATGCTGTCAGTTTCCAACATACTCGGATGAAATCTCTTCGCAGCCCACTTGGGTTTTCTTAGACTGGTTACATTCAGTCCCTGAGTCCTTTTCTCCTAAAACCGAGGCACCCCAGCCTCGACACACCTTATAACTAATTCGCCTGCTTGTGCATTCAAGCCCCTTTATTTACTCTCTTGGCAGCTGTCATGCATTGCCCTCCAACCTTTAAATAATCATAGATCCTAGTCTCCTTCCTATTTAGTGTCTTCCAGCTCTTCCATGTGGAGTCCTCTGAGTTTGTCTCCTACCTCTCTCCATGGACATGAATTATATTTTGTTACATGACCTTCCATCTGTCACATTCCCACTTAGGGCCCATGCCTGCTCAGCAAATCTCCTGAAGTTGTGTGCTCTCCCCAAAACTGTATGTGCAACTTCTCCTAGCTTGGTGTCATCAGCAAATTTTCTCCTGTGCTGGAAGTTATTCCAGCTGGATGGTCTCACTGGTCTTTTCTATTTGACTCCTATGACCGTCACTCAGATTTCAATGCCATGCAGTTTTAAGAGAGAAGAAATCAGTGCCTCGGTTTAAGGGTAACTGCATCTTTAATTCTCCTTTGTGGTCTGCTCCAGGGTTGCCCACTCTGGTAAGAGAGGTAAATACGATCTCATGTTGTATAAGAGAAATTCCTCATCCCAGCAATATTAATCTTTGCAACAATATTAAGATTTTCACAACTTTTTTTAAAAACACTTCTTTAAATGTATGGCCAAATTACTCTGTCTGTAGAAGTGCCTATCAAATGTAGCAAACCTTTTTTCTTGAAATCGGTATAACATTGATCTACATTGCAAGTGTAATTATTAAAACTGGTCTTTTTAGGGGTAAATAAGAATTATAGTAGTCCAATTTAGCAGTGACAAAGATGTTTTGCGATCAGACTTGGGCAACCAATTTGCAAAAATTGTTCATTTGGTGAATTTAGTCCTTCCTCCAACTCTTTTTTCATATTTCCAATGTATATGTTAACAGATCTTGATTTTTATTAATCTGTTCACTGTTCACAACTGTTAGTTGAATCTCTGTGGATCGCTCACTAACTGTTTCTTGCAAGGATTTCTGGCTCCTGATTTGCTATTCTCAGTGAGCGAAATTCACTGCTGCACAGCACTGAAATCCAACTCAACCCCTATTTTGAGGGCTTATGTAGTGTAATGGCCTTGTGCCAGTCCTCTGCACAAGAGTGAATATAAACCAATGTGTGAGTGGCTGCCTAAGTCACATGGTATTGTTCCCATTCCCTGATTGGATGACCTAAATGGGAGGAAAGTCTGAACAAATTCTTGGGGCTTTGATTCTTGCAGGGGGAGAGAGTGTGACAGCAAATACGATGTAAACCAGCCTAGAGAATGTGAGGACATTTAAAAGCTTTTCCTATCATCTTTTTCACAAGAAAGATCTTTGTATTTGGCTGCATATGTAGACCCCAGATTTATTTAAAAAACAAAACAAAACCATTTTTTTTCTTGACTGAGGGAGACCGATATAAAGCAGAGTGATTGACTGTTTAGCAGACTTTATGCTTAGATTCAGATTGTTACATTCACACAAAGTAATTGCCTTTCTATGTACTTTCAAGTACTGTTTGCCAAAGGTCAGGCCTTCTATTTTTGTATCTCTCATTTGACTGATTGCCTCAGTGTCATGACTCCAGTCAGGGACACAGAGGAGGAGCCACGGTTTTCACACCTCTGTCAAATCCCTGAATTAAACTTTCTGTTCCATATTTTCTTTTGCTAGGATGAATATCAGTCACAATCGCTTTTGAGCATACTCAGTCTTACTGGAGTAACAGCAATAGGACCAAACAATTGGCCGATGTATTTGGGAACTACTGTTTTAAATATTTCACTCCCATCATCCCATATAAAACAATATTCCATCTACCAAATACATTGCCTTAATTTATCAGCCTCTGTTTTCTGTTACCTATCAACTTGCATCACACACTTTATTACATATTAAGTGTGGACGCTGCTAATTTTCACTTCAGTTCACACAGGAACTCACAGGATTGCGTCCCTAATCATGCACCGTATGTATATTTCTGTTTAAAATGTTCATACATATTAAACAATTGGGGCCAGATCCTCAGCTGGTGTAAACTGGTTTAAAACCAGTGGCACTGTTCTCATTTGTACCAGTTGAGGATCTGGCCTTTAATACATTGGTGATGCTGATGTCAGTCTATATAAAGGAAAATCTGGTAAAAGATGGCCAGTTTTATTCACCTCAGCTGTACAGGGTCAGTTACTATAAATAAATATTGATTCTCAAGAAAAAAACACGATAATCATGGCAAGCAAATGTAAACATTACATTTGTCTGACAACAGTCACATGGTCCTGATTTAGCCCCATCAATTGAAAATCTGATTTGTGGCAATCAGCAAATATTGAAGGATGTTCCAGCTGTTAATTACAGAACTGCTTTGATCACTCCAGTGCAGGAAAATTGCTGAGGCAATTTTGGTTGTAAGCAAAGCTACCATAACTACAAAAAAAAAAAAAAAGCTGTTTGCATTTACAAAATATAAAAAGCAGCAGCAGCCCCTGAGGATAATTTATGATTCCCACTGATTGTTCTATCGTAATGCGAAACTAATCAACTTCCAGATGATATTTTAAAAGCACAGATTTCATTTCAATACATTCAAGCATTTCAATACAGCAAGGTTCAAAAAGACAAATAATTATCGAATAATCTTTCCCTGTGGCACTGAAGCATAATTTTTCAGTAGATACTTGGTACAAACAAGGGTTTTCTTGATGAATTAGAGGGATATTGATTCCAAATATGACTGTAAATGTAAATCAGTGTCTTTGCTACCAGCATTACTACTATTAAACTAATGAAAGTGCTTTCAAATCATATTAAAGCTCTGACTTACACCCACAAAGGAAAATCAGAATTAGAGCTGGATTGCAGGTATTGCTTAATTAGCAGTACAGTAAGAGACCCGTCGGTATTGCAGTTCATACAGTATTCGAGATTTACTCTTATAACTTCTGAAACACCTAGATCAAGTTCACCTATATCTAAGCTGCATCCCTGAATCTTTCCCATTCCATAGTAGCTCCTATGGCATCCCTCTCTCCTGGCTGTTAGTGGACAGGAATAGCCAGGCAAAACCATTGCTTTCTCTTCCCCCAATAACACCACACTGACAGAACAGCTGCTTGGAGCCCCCGGCAGCTGTTGCAAATCAGAACGGCCCTAAGACTGCCAAGGATGGAAAGGAGGGGCATTAGAGCTTCTTTGTATGGCCCTCCCTCTCAGCTGTGCTGAATTCTCCTCAGTATCTGACCCAGAAAATGAGGAGAGAAGAGACTGCAAAGAAGCAGAGAATGAGCACAAACCAGCCTCCGCAGTGGCATTTTGTCTACTCCTCCCAAGCACATACTGAGGAGGAGGAAATGGACTGAGGGGTAAAAGTTTCATGAGATAAACCACAATTAGCTTAGTTCGATGACTTACTTTTGCAGCTCAGAGACACAGCAGTATTTCAAGTTCTTAGCCTCCTGTGATGGCATTGAGTGTCACATTGTCCAGATGTTCTCCTGTGATGAGACCCGCACCTTAGGAGACCTGGGAAAGGGCATCACAGAACAAGTTACACCTCCCTGATTCACATGGTGCATCTGCATTGACTGTGGCCAACTGTCATACATTAGAGCAGCTTCTAACCCACACCCGCTGGCTAGGGTCTGTACCTGGGACCATTCATCAGTGGGAATTGACAGAAGGAGACGTGCTTGGCAGCTGGAAGTGGGGAACAGTTAGATTAAGAGCCTGCTAGACCCTTTTTCACTGAGGGCTTCTCTGATCAGTATAGTATTGTCATGCAGGCAGGGGCAAGGAGCACACAGGGGCACAGGCATTTCTAACAGGTGCCAGAGCTTTACTGAAGATCACTTAGAAGTGCCCTGTGCAAACGCATCCATTGGTCCTGTCTAGGAACTGGTGGACCAAGACTTCAATGGTCTCATTTAACTTTACAGCCAGGGAGCACCACATTCTGCCACTGCGTCTGAGCAGCACAAAAGGGCCCAAACAGGAGAGAATCTGGGCCTACACATCCAGAGGATGGATATATAGATATATATATTTGCAGGTAAAATTCACCTCTCTGCAGAGGACCTGCTCTAGGCCTACGTACCACTTAAATCCTAAATAAGCCCTCACTCACTCATCAAACCACTGGAAAAGGTGAAAGCTCAAACACAGGAGAAGGCAGGATGGTCACTAGCCTGGGTTACTGGAGATTTGGGTTCAACTCCCTGCTCTGACACAAACTTCCTGTGTGACCTTGGACAAGTCACCTAGAGCCAGATTTGTAAAGGTGTTTACGCTGCTAGTGGAATTTCCAAAAGTGTCTCAGTGTTAGATGGCCAATTGCTTTTGCACCTAAACACCTTTACAATCTGGCTCTTGGTCTCTCTGTGCCTCAGTTCCCCATCTGTACGATGGGGATAACAGCCCTGCCCTACCTCACAGGGGTGTTGTGAGCAGAACTATGCTCAAGGTGCTCAGAAACTATGGTAAAGGGTGCATTATGGGAACAAAAGTACCTTACTGAGGTAGCTAACGTGCAATATAGTAGATAATGCTAGAAGAGCAAAGGGACAACCTGAGATAGCTTTAGTACGCTCTCAGACAACTTGTTCTGGACTGGCGAGTTCTGTACAATCCGGATCACGGAACGAAGCTTTGGGTACTTGACAGTGCATGTCCCTGTGAGCAGATGTTTACATTACACCAAGCCTGCATTGGGAAACACACAGACTAACGGCACTTTGGTTTGAACTTCGTTCATGCTCCCTAGTTCCTTCTCTTTTGTGACGTGCCTACTTGGTGTGTTCCATTTTTTTATGAACACAGGTTTCCAGCTGGGGAACACTAGCACTTTGCTGTTGGTGGAAAGAAAATTGTGAAATGCACCTGAGCCTCATGGTTTAATGCAGTTGAGGGATGGTGCAAAAACACAGTCTACCTTTCATAAAGGGATGATAGACAAGACAAGTGAGGAAGAAGCAGCTTGACAGAAAGAGAGAAAAAAGTTTTCAGCCCAGTAAAACCAGACTGATCTTCAGTGCAGACAAATCTATGGGACTGATCCTGCTCTCAGTTACCCCAGACTAAAGCTTCATTGAAGTTATTGGAGCTTCTGAGGACAGAATTTGGACCAGTGTACTTAAAGGAACACCATCAGCTGGAAATCTAGTCAGTTTCAAAATATCACATACAAACATCTTCAGGAAAATGCTGGGGAAGTAGAGAGCAAAGAGTGAATGAACTGTTGGAATGGGATACAAATTCTCTGTTAGATCCAAGAATGGTTCCCTTGGGATCTTTCCTGTGTGTCTGCATGTTCTTTTTTTTCCACATGACAGTGGAAAATAGAAATGGTCCCATGACTGAATTTCAGACATCTCACAATATACTTCCAGGCCTCTGTTCAGCAAGGTGCTTAAGTGCTTAACTTTAACAAGTTTAAGTCCATTTGACTTCATTCCTTTATTCTTTTGCAACAGTTCATTTGCTCTTTGTTGTTTATTGTGTTTATTTTTACTTCTTGGTTTCAGTGGGTCTTCAGTGCTTAATGTTAAGCATAAAGGGGAATGCTTTGCTGAATCCGGGCTCTGATCCTGCAAACGGTTACACACATGCTTATCTTCATGTATGTCATATAGAAACCAGTGGAACTGCTCACAAGAGTACAGTCAAGCACACTGGTCACTGTTTCCATGACTGAGGCCTCGGTTTGTGAATTCAAAGCCCCCATGGATGTTGCAGGAATTGCTAGGATGATCATTACATATTATTTTTCACACACAAAAATGCTCTTTAAAAAATGTACTTAACACCTGCCCCTAGTTTTACCTGCTGTTTTCTGTGCTTTTGTACTGGCTCAACTGCCCTGTTTTTTTAAGAAATATTTCTTTTCCTCTATTGCTATATGAAAGATCCATCCAGACACCAGGCAAAATTGGGCTGAACTATGGCTGCAATCCTGCAAGCACGGTTGCACAGGGGTAGTTCCACTGAATGTATTTTTCATTACGGTAGCTTGATACATCTGATTTACACTCCACTGGCATCTGGAATTTCACACTCTCTCACACTCCAGTTCACTTTTACCGCAGGCGCATTGGACAATAACAACCAGCACCATCTACTGGTGAGAAATAAGATATATTGGTTCCACTATATAAAACATAGAGGAATTTAAACTAGTATATTTCAAATTTGTTAGACTGAGACTCGTACGTTAAGGCTGAAAGAGACTGTTAGATTATCTCCTGTATAACACAGGCCAGTGAATGTTGCCTAGGTACACCAGTACTGAGCCCAATCATTATACAATTGCTTTTATTTTGAAAAATCAGTCAGTTGATCTGAATCATGTGATAAATTACTTATATTCCAGTAGCAGCTACTGAGACCAAACACATGGCCTACTGGGTGACCTTGAGTCAGTCACTCCCCTCTCTGTGCCTCAGTTTCCTCACCTGTAAAATGTGGATAATGATACTGACCTCCTTTGCAAGTCTCAGTACTGACTTCAGCCCATGGGCTTGTTAGCATATACCATGTTACTATGCAGTAATACTCTGACAACAGACTGGTTTACAGGCTACATTTTATTATGCTCATAGCAACAGATCCCAACGCCATTTTACTATCTGATTTGCAAAAAAAAAAGTCATAGTTTTGTTTTAAATTACATCTTCCTTACCAGTTAAACAGTCACCCACTACATGGCCTCATAGGATGACATTAATATCGTTTAATAGCCTATGTACTGTGCATTGAGAATACTTACATGGTATTTGTGTCCTGTAACTCAAAGATTTACCATTGCTGGGCAGTGCCGCACCTCTGAACACACATCAGATTTCCTGCATTGGGAAATTGTTTTTTTAATTGGCCGCCCTATTCAAAGATGCTATATGGATTAATAATGCAGAAGCAAAATCTTCGGAGTGGCCTCTTGAGCTAATGGGGGGCACCTGTCCCCTGCACAGAGGAAAAGGAATGCTCACTGCAAGCTGTAAACTAGCTGGCTTGGATGCAGGTGGATTTGCTGGGGCTTCTGCTTTACATGACGGAACATAAGAGGAAAATGGTTCTTTTGATTATGCTGACTTGGCAAAGGTGACTAAAAATTAATTCAGGCAGTAATATCAAGAACGAATCCAATAGGACGTGCTTAGGAAAATAAACTCCCAGGCAACTCTTTCCAAAACAGGTGGATGTCCAAGACAGGAGCATCCCAGGTGTATAATCGACAGGGTACCAGACTGGGGCAAAGGAGATTTGGATTAATTCCTGGCTCAGGTATAGACTCTGACCCACAACCTCAAAGGTATTTAAACTCCTAACTACCGTTGATTGCAGTGGAAGTTAGGAGCTTAAATACCTTTTTAGGATCTGGGCTATTCTGCATAACTTTGGGCAAGTCACTTAATCTACCCTTTGTCTTAGTTCCTCATCTGTAAAATGGGAATAACACTTCCCTACCTCCGAGGGCTGTTTTAAGGATACAATAAATATTAATTGCTGTGAGGTGCTCAGATACTACAGGACTGAGGGCTATATAAGTATGTAGATATCTCCTTGCATGCAAAGGAAGTACATCACCTCAAACAGTTCCAAACAACAAAGCCTGGTTCCTCGGGGTCCTATAGCCCCAATTTTGAAACCACTGTCAAATGGGCTCTAAAACCAAATGCCAGTAAACAGCAACGTGAATCAGATGCACAAACACCACTGAGCAGCAATTAAGTAATATGGCAGTGTCTGCATGACAACTGAACTGCACTAAACTTTCATAAATTAAACCATAAATCCTCACTTTGTTAGCAACTGTGATTAGTGAAATACTTGGAACGGATGTTAAAATATCCCTAAATGACCCAATATATCTGAGAATCAACTAAGCAGCAATGTAAGGGACAGAATGTAAGCTGTAGAAAAGGAACAAATGCAAATGAAAAGGCATAGGAAAAGCACAGAAAGACAGCTTAGCTTTGATTTGTTCCATGCATTATAAGTAATAGGGAATATATTTAGCTACAGTGTGTTACAGCTTTCCTGACAAATTATGCAAATATTGCTTTTCTTATTGGTTCTGCCTCGCTGGGCACACAAGAAAGAATTTGTTCTGGTTTCTGTCATGCAAAACTGGAGTCTATTGAAGAAGTCATTATCTCATTGAACAGCAAAAATGACACCACATTAATAAATACTAGAGTTGGTCAACATTTTGTATTTCTATTCATGAAAATTTTCCAAACCAAAACAGCCTTGGTTTAGTTCAAAAAACTTTACTTTCGTTTTTTGACTAAAAAATGTTCTTTGAATTTTCAGGTTTTTTCACCACATTGTCTCGCTTTTTTCCACTTGAAAAAAAAAAAAAGGAAAAACGGAAACTGAACATTTTTGGGTTTCTTTGGAAAAAATGGAAAAGGTAGAGAAAATTATTTTCTCTTTTGGTAAAAATTTTCCCAAGGCTATTTTTCAACAACAACAAAAAGTCTGAAAAATTTCAACAGGCTTTCCTTAAGCCCCAGTGACTTCAAAAT